GCCGCCGCCGCCGCAGCCACCGACGCCGACGCCTCCTCCGCGCCCCCCTCGTTTTCATTGAAAGCAAACAAGCATCATGGCGGCGGCCGTCCCCCAGCCAGCGAGCGCCCCGGCCGCCGCCGCCGCTCCAACATCCCGGCCGCCCATTGGTCGCCGCCGTCGGGCGCGACCATTCGGCGTCCTGAGGGGGAGAACGCCCTCAGCCTTGACCCCCGGCCGAGGCGCAGTGGGCCGGCCCGACGCGCGCGTCCGCCCCCGCCGGCGCGGGCTCTCGCAGCTCTGCTCGCGCTCCAGCCGCTGCGCTCCCGCTCGCTCCCCGCGTGGAGCTCGGTGTCTCCTCCAGCGCACGTTTCGTCCCTGGCTGCTCACTTCTAGCAGCTTTCCTCCGCGCTTTTCCTGGCGACTGCTGCCCCGGATGTGTCCTCTTTCCCCGCCCTCTGCATGTCCACGGCTTGGGAGCGCACGTCTATTGGCAGACCTTTAACTGTGGCCAGTATCGATCTGCCGAAGTATGAATGAGCAGTTGAATAAGTCTTCCTGCCTCAGTATGCAGAAAAAATAAATGAATGGCCCTTTTCAGTCCACTAATGCTCAGTCAGTGCTGTAAATTAAGGACAGCTTTTGGTGGTGGGGTCCCAGCCACAAGAACTGATCAGAGACGCGTTTGAAGATCAGGAGGCCCAGTGCAGTGGTGCTTGCCGAAATGCAGGGAAAGGGCTGGTCGGAGCCATGATGTTTTCAACAGGAAATTTTAGTTGGCTGGGCATGTGGGCGGAGATAAATCGGACCCTTCTCCTCCTTGAGTAATCTCAAAATCTAGGGGCAGGAGTAACATCAGATTATTAAACTCATCAGAGGTGAAGGGTATGGCGTGGAGAAAAAGCAATAGCTGCCCAGCCATCTAGCTGGTAAACTGCGGTGGACTACAGGCTCCTTCCTGGAAGATCAACCCTGAAGAAATGACAGTGAATCCTGGTCCCAGATACTGACAACAGTGAACAAGGGAGAAACGCGTGTCATCCTGCTGCAGTCTGTCTTGGCTAGATGTGGGAAATGGGTGGCAGCACTTAAGGCAAGGAACTGGCGGTGTACTGGAAGGCCTGAAGGGAGTATTAGTCGCCTTCGCGTTGCTGAAACAAAAATGCCTGGTACCTGTAATTCAGAAATTTGTTTTGGTTCAGTTTCAGTGGACTCCGTCTAGTTGGTTGGCTCTAGGGTGCTGAGGCAAGGCTGAGGAAAGCTATTCATGGTGATCATGATGCAGAGAGAAAGGTAGAGTCGGGGAGTACAGCCTTCCACTGCACACCCCAACGGCCTGCCCCTTCCAGCCAGGCCTCACCTCCAAACATGAGACTTGGGAAACATTTTAGATCCAAATCATAACAAGGGGTGGGAGCTGTTCAAAGATCAGGATGTTCTGTTTAGGGCAAGAGTTGTGTGTTTGAGCCTAGCATCGCTTTGGTAAGGAACCACCACACTATGTTAAGGCTTTACATCTATGAATTCATTTAATCTCCATCACAAAATTACATGTTAATAGTATAGATATACAGTGGGGACTGGAAGACCATTTCTCTCTACCCACTTGAGCTCAAGCAACACCCCAGGCCAGTCTTCCTGTAATTATTTTGAGAGAAATGGAAAATAAAATAGCAAAGACCCAGAAGATCTCTGAGGCTCCAGGCCAAAAGAGCACATGCATGTTAGGTTTCATGACCTGACTCTCAGTAATCTTTTCCCTGTGTTAAAGGTTCATAAGCATAAACTGTATCTCATACACATCATTTCATCTGAGTGAATTCTTGGACATGCATGCTTATTGAAAGCCCCTGAGATGACTTAATATGCTATCTAGTCATTCCTGTCAATTTTACCTAGAGACCCACCGAGAGCACTCAGGCTGGGGTACACCTCTTTTAAAATCTGAAAGCCTGATTTTTCTGTATGCTCTGCTGTGATTTTTACTTTCTTGTCCCAGAACCACCTTTCTGTTGGTGCCACATTTTTGTCAGCAGGAATCTATCCTGAGTACATCTTCCTTCAATAAATGCTGTTGCCTTTTCCTTCCCCACTGGATATGTGTTTGAAATTTTTTGCTTGCACACAAGAGTCTGAAATCTACCTGTTGGATCTACTATATGGTATCAGTATGTCACTGTCCTCATTTTACTAAAAGTATCTGTAAGCAGAGTAAGTGTCTATAAACAGAAACCTGGTGAAGTTATAACTTTCCAAGATCACAGGAATGTTGGGTATCATTAGTAATTGCAAACAAAACTAGAATAAAAAGCAATCCAATAGTTATAGAACGTGTATACAAAGGAATGTGCAACAAATTAACTGCTTGATTTACATATGATGAATGAGTCCAAAAAACATTGAGAGGAAGAAAAGCAAGTTGTAGACATCTTTAGTTGAGGATAAAATCATCTCTTATAACATGTTACTCTGGAAAAAAAGAACCTTTCGGTTATATAGGAATAGTTTGAGCAATAATATCAATTGGTTTCCTAGGGTTTAGTGTATGAGCTCAGCATATATTTACAGTAGGAACAGATGTTGACACACAAGCATACTTCACATCAGTCACAATAATTATTGCCATTCCAAGCAGAGTAGAAGTATTTCATTCATTAGCCTCACTACATGGAGTGAACATTAAATGATGTCCTGCTGTATTATGAGCCCTCAGCTTCATTTTCCTTTTTTACTGTAGGAACACTAACAGGAATTGTATTAGCCAGTTCTTCATAGATACCACTCTACACAAAACCATTATGTCATCTATGGGAACTGTATTTGCAATTATAGGTGGATTTGTTCACTGATTTCCTCTATTCTCAGGCTGTACTCTCGAGTCTACCTGAGCTAAAATTCACTTCTTCATTATATTTACAGAAGTAAATATTACTTCTTTCCACAACACTTCTTAGGCTTATCTAGCATGCTATGCTAATACTCAGACTGACCAGACGCATATACATTCTGAAATCCTGTCACTTTCATAGGTTCACCTATTTCTCTAACAGCTGTGATAGTAATATTTATACTATTAGAAGCATTGAGGGGCATTTGCTTCTAAACAAGAAGTAACAACAACTGGATTAACTTCAATCAATTTAGAGTGACTTCATGGATGTCCTCCACCATATCATACATTTGAAGAACCAACTTACAATAAAATTACATAATAAGGGCTGGTAAGATAGCTCAGCAGTCTAAAGCACCTGCTTAGGCAAGCTTAGGCAAAGCTCAGTCTGTGTCTGCCTAAGCAGGTGCTTTAATCCTCTGAGCTATCTGGCCAGCCCTTCCTATAACCTTTATGACTTTCTTTATAGTAAATAGATATTAGCAAAACTATTACATAACTTGGTCAAAGTTAAGTTATTGGATAAATTTCTGTGTATCTCTATGACCTATCCTTATCAACTGGGTTTTCAAGATGCCACCTCCCCTATTACAGAATTTCTTCACTTTCATGACCATACACTGATAATTGTATTCTTAATTAGTACATTAGTACTATATCTTATTTCACTCATACTAACTACAAAATTAAGTCACATTAGCACAATAGATACTCAAGAAGTTGACACCATTTGAACAATTTTACCAGCTATGATCTTAATTATAATTACACTACCATCTCTTTGAATTTTATACATAATAGCTGAAGTTAATAATCCATTACTAACAGACAAAGCCATAGCACATCAATGATATTGAAGTCCTGAATATACAGACTATGAAGAATTAATTTTTGATTCATACATAGTTCCTACAACAGATTTAAAACCTGGTGAACTTCGATCACTTGAAGTTGATAACTGAGTTTTTCTTCCAATAGAAATACCAATACTCTTATTAATTTCATCTGAAGAGGTCCTCCCTTCATGAGCCATCCCATCTCTAGGTCTAAAAACAGACACTATTTCAGGATGCCTAAACCAAACAATTCTACCATCATTCCATCCAGGATTATTCTACAGTCATTGCTCACAAATCTGTGGTTCTAACCAGTTTCATGCCTAATGTCCTTGAAATAGTACCGTTAAAGACATTGAAAACTGATGTTCCTCTATGCTATAAGCCAGTATGAAGCTAGCTAGCATTAACTTTTTTTTTTTTCGGTACGGGGGATTGAACTCAGGACCTTGCACTTGCCAGGGTCTACTGAAGTATCTCCCCGGCCCTTAGCATTAACCTTTCAAGTTAAAGACTTGGGAGAAATCTCCCAATGGTGAAATGTCACAATTAGATACATCAACATGATCAATTACTGTTCTATCAATACTCACAGCATTATTTATAGTTTTCCAGTTTAAAACTTAAACACACTCATTTTCACCTAACCCCCAAACAATCTACCTAGAAACCATAAAACAAAAAACACCTTGAAAAAGAAACAAAAATCTACTTGCCTCTTTATGCCAACCATATTAGGATTACCTATTGCATCACTCATTATTTTATTCCCTGTTATTTTATATCCCAACCCTAAACAATTAATCAATAATTGAATTACTACCTTCTAACAATGATTAATCAAGTCAATCCTAAAATAATACTAATTCATAGTACCAAAGGATGAACTTGATCTCTAATATTAATTTCATGTATACATAATACACAATATTAATTTTATGTATTGGAACAACTAACCTATTAGGACTATTACTACATTCCTTTACTCCTACAACACAACTATCCATAAATGTAGGAATAGCTATTACTGTCCCCCTTTGAGCTGGGACAGTAATTTTAGGTTTCCACCATAATACAAAAATATCTTTACCTATTTCCTCTCACAAGGTACACCAATTCTCCTTATTCCTGTACTTGTAACTATCAAAACAATTAGTTTATTTACTCTACCTATAGCAGTTAGACTCACCACTAATATTACTGCAGGCCACTTACTTACACTCCTAATTGGTGGAGCAACTTCAGTACTAATCTCCATTTAGCCCACCAGCTGCCCTAACAACATTTATTGTCATACTATTACTCATAATTCTTGAATTTGTTGTCACATTAATTCAAGCTTAAGTTTTCATCCTCCCAGTAAGCCTTTACTTAGAGGATAGCAATTAATGACCCATCAAACACATGCATACCATATAGTTAACCAAGCCCTTGACCCCTCACAGAAGCCCATCAGCCCTCTTATTTACCTCAGGCCTCGTAATATGATTTCACTGTAATCCCACAATTCTCCTTACTCCAAGCATAATAACTAATGTCCTCACTATATGTGAAGGATGACATGGCATAGAACAAGGAGGGACCTATCAAGGCCATCATACAGTAACTGCACAAAAAGGCATCCGTTGTGGAATAATTTCGTTATTCCAGAATATTCTTTTTGTCAGGGTTCTTCTAATCCTTTATCACTCTAGCCGAATACCCACTGCAGAACAGGCAGATATTGACCCCCTACAGGAATTCATCCACTAAACACATTAGAAGTCCCTCTGTTAAATACATCTGTCCCCTAGCCTCAGGTGTCTCAATTTCTTGAGCCTATCATAGCCTAATAGAAAGTAATCGAAAACAAATCATCCAAGCCCTTATGGTCACCATTACTCTAGGTGCTTACTTCACACTACTGCAAATTTCAGAATACTTTGAAGCTTCATTCACCATGGTCCACATTTGTTGTAACCACAGGCTTTCACAGCTTGAACATAATTATTGGATCAACATCATTTCAGATTTGAAGCTATAGCCTGATACTGACATTTTATAGACGTAGTCTGACTTTTCCTATCTGTATCCGCTTACTGTTGAGGCTCAGACTTTCTTAGTATTAAAAGTACAACTGACTTCCAATCAGTAAGTTCTGACATTTACTTGGAAGAACAAGTATTTTTTTTTAAATGTATTTAGTACAGGGTCTACAGGTCTCACTACAGATTGGACTCGGAGTGATCCTCCTGTTTTCAGCCTCCCAAGAGCTGGGATTACAGGCATGTGCCACCACAACCAGTCTCAATTGCCATCTCAGCCTGCCCTGGGGGGTGAGTCAGGCAGGCATGCTGGGGACCAAACCCTGGTCCCTGCGTCTGCCTAAGCAGGCACTTTAATCTGCTGAGCTAACTGGCCTGCCCATAAATATTTTTATCTCATTTCTAACCAAGTATTTATTAACTATATTCCTCATCACAATCACGTTTTGACTTCCCCAACTCAACAGCCTCTATAATCTCTGAGGATTCTGAGTTTTCCATTCCATTTCCAGAGTTGCCCTCTGTTTACAGGAGTCACGGTGAGTCTTTTTCTCCTCTTCCTCCTCCTCTTCCTCCTCCTCCTTCTCTTCCTCCTTCCCTTCCCTTCCTTTCCATTGCTTTCCCTTCCCTTCCCTTTCCAGGGAGTTGGATTTCCCCAAATGTCAGGCGATTTGGGCTTGTTCCCATTTCTGTGGAAGGAATAACTGAAATATCAGGGGTAGAGCTTGTTGACTGACAGCTACCCTTACAGAGCTAACTTTGTCCCTGGAGACCAGGATTGCAGGTGACAGACATTCTTGTCCCAGCCTACTGCTGTTTGGCCTTGCCAGGGAGCCAGGAAGCTATTCTGCTTCTTCTTGGTTGGGTGGTCTTAAAAAATCCCTGTCACAGTATGACTCCCCTGTCCCTATTCCTTGGTGGAAAACTCACTGAAGACACCCTTTGCTCTTTGTTTTAGGGAATCACAGACATTTCTGCCTTTACTCTCATGCTTATGGGGTCTTGGGAAACTGCCCCTCAATCGGTGCACATGGCGACATCAGCAGCCACTCAAGCACCCGCTTTCCAGTCATGCTGTCCCTCTCCCCTTTCCCCATGTCTACAGGCTGATGCATGTTCTTCAGTGTGTATTCCTCTCTCTGTATGCACAGGATTTTGGCTCCAGGCTCATCTCAGATATCAAATTCCACGGCTACTCTATTCCTTTTAGAGAATAACAACATTTGCATGCAACCTATGCATATCCTCCCCACACTTTAAATCATCATTAGATTCCTATGGAAATCCTGAAACCTAA